CGGGCTACGTTAGATCTATCTACGGGCTATGCTAGATCTATCTACGGGCTATGCTAGATCTATCTACGGGCTATGTTAGATCTGTGTTAGATATATCTACAAGTTATATTAGATCAATCTACGGGCTATGTTAGATCTATCTACAGGCTATGTTAGATATATCTACAGGCTATATTAGAGCTATCTACGGGCTATGTTAGATGTATCTACAATTTATGTTAGATATATCTACAGGCTATATTAGATCTACAGGCTATATTAGATCTATCTACATGCTATGTTAGATCTATCAACGGGCTATGTTAGATCTACAGGCTATATTAGATCTACATGCTATGTTAGATATACGGGCTATGTTAGGTCTATCTACGGGCTATGTTAGATCTATCTACATGCTATGTTAGATCTATCTACATGTTATGTAAGATCTATCTACGGGCTATGTTAGATCTATCTACATGCTATGTTAGATATACGGGCTATGTTAGGTCTATCTACGGGCTATGTTAGATCTATCTACATGATATGTTAGATCTACGGGCTATGTTAGGTCTATCTACGGGCTATGTTAGATCTATCTACATGCTATGTTAGACCTATCTACATGCTATGTAAGATCTATCTACGGGCTATGTTAGATCTATCTACATGCTATGTTAGATCTACGGGCTATGTTACATCTATCTACATAAATAACGAAAAAAGGCACAATACCGTGACTGGAACGATACACAAATAACACGGCTTCTCTCTTTTATGTGCGGGTTATTTGTGTATCTATCTACATGCTATGTTAGATCTATCTACGGGTTTATGGCTATACCCCAATGTTTTTAGTTGCTGGCAAAGCTTTCAGCGATTGATGATGTATTCTTCGATTTTTCATCAATACTGCCTTGCCTTTGCTCCATTTATAAGCCTCTTCACTCTGCTCTTACCATTTGAAATTAATTTAGCGTTGCAACATTCAACCTGTTTGCCCTAACTTTTTAGCAAGTGATCCCTGAATTTGTTATCAGATATCTCAGCAGTAATCCAATATCTAATATCTCAACAGGATGGCAGTGAATATGATTCTGAATTTTTCTCAGATATTATTTATATCCCTGCAACTTGTTTTCACAGACAAATCTCAATCGTGTGGCCTATTTACCAATATTTCTTTAATGTAACTTCTAGACCTCGTTTTTGCTGTCGTGTGTAGGCCTTTCCGTTGCTTAATTATTTTTCCAGGAGCAATGAGTCAAGAAATGATCGCTAAGACCTGTGGTAAATAGGTTTATTTAGGTACAGTTACACCTAAGTACAATAACAAAAGTTACACCTAAGTACAATAACAAAAGTTACACCTAAGTACAATAACAAAAGTTACACCTAAGTACAATAACAAAAGTTACACCTAAGTACAATTACAAAAGTTACACATAAGTACAATAACAAAAGTTACACATAAGTACAATAACAAAAGTTTTGTCTTAAATAATAACATGTGAAGATTACCCAGGATAACTAAAAAAAGTAAGAAGATGGTTAAGCAGGTAAAGAAGAAAGTAAGCAATTAAACTAACAGGTAATGAAGTAGGTAAAGGAGTAATTAAGAGTTTTAAGCACACTAGCAAATTTAGATGATCGCATTTGTCTTAAATAATAACATATGTGTGAATTACCTAGGATGACCCATAAGAGTCAAACTAGGCGACCTGTTCCCACTGGGATCTTCAAGCTTCGGGAAATATTTAGAAGACTTTTTCAATACATTGTTATAAACTAAGTTTATTCAGGTTCCTTTCATAAGTTTAGATTTTTACAGTTGTCTTATAACAGGAGTGTATTAGATAGAGTGATTACGCATCGCTGGGGTCTTGGCTGAAACTGATAACCAGTGGATTTCTCCAGAAGAAAATGAAGAAAAAAAAGTAACGATTTTGTTTGGATTGCTAGCCCGAAGGGTAAGTGTTCCGTGGCTTGGTTGGTAACGCTCTTGCCTCTCGTCGTGGCTCAGTCCCTGGCACGGGTGAAAACATTGGGCATGTTTCCTGACACCAGCTGTCCCTGTTCACCTAGCAGTTAGTAGGTTTGGTCTGCATCCTGTGGGACAAGACTGAAGGGCCTCAGTGGAAATAGTCCACGATGAAGCACTGACTTTCTTGGGTTATCCTGGGTGGGTAACTCTCCAGGTTAAAAATTAAATCTTATCTTATTATCCACTAAGGGCAGTGCATCATCGGGGACTATCTGGCTTATTTCCATTTGGGGACTATCTGGCTTATTTCCCTCAGGATGCGACCCACGGCAATCTTCAAACACCCAGGTACCTGCTTACTGCTAGTTGAACAAGGGCAGCAGGTCCTCGTAGTCTCGAGGATCTGCCCAAGTTACCACCCATCCAACTACTAGTCAGCTTCAACTGTCTGGATAATATACAATCTACTCACACTGGTAAGTACAGAGAATGATGGTTAACCTTGTTTATAGGGGAGTTAAAACACTAATTATCACGTACCTATCAACACTGAGTAGGCTATACCAAGACTGGTTAGTTAATGGGTCTTAATTAAAGTTTTACGAGGGTCATTAAGGCTGCATGCCACTAGACAAGAATACTTTAATACCTAAAATAGGGATTAAACTCTCCGTGTATATATATATATATATATATATATATATATATATATATATATATATATATATAATATATATATATATACACAGAGATGCGCACAACTCAGTGCATATATCCTGTGTACTAACACTTTAAATCTCATGGACGAGGTCATTTCACATACGACAATGTAGCGATTTATTTTAGATTTTAATAATAATAATAATAATAATAATAATAATAATAATAATAATAATAATAATAATAATAATAATAATATTTACCTACAGTAGTAAACATAGGATATATACATCGAGAGGTGTATTTTTGTTAGCGTCTATATGTCGAGAGTGCTTTAATTAATCCCTATTTCAGGAGAAAAGGTTACTGCGTAACCTTAGCCATAGTGTAGTCGACAGGCTTTAAACCCCATTAATCCATTAAACCTCATTAATCAGCCAATGAAAGAAGACACACGATTATATACACCAAAAGGTGTATACATCTCTGTGTATATACACTAAGAGTGTATATACACAGAGATTTAAAGTTTTTTTTGACTGGTTGTTCGGTTGGTTAATGGGGTTTAAAGCTTATCTACTACATTAGGGCCATCTAGGCTGCATGTAACCTCACTACCAGACAAGAATACTTTGATCTCTGAAATATTCATTAAGGTAAACTCTGAGTACATATAGACTGAAAAGGCTATTTGGTGTTTTAAATATAATTAATCATTTTAATGATTAATAATAGCGTAATAGCAATTATTTAGAAAGCCACTTAAACACTAGGACATATTTATTAGAAAACGTTTCGGTCCTGAGACCTTGATCACTTCTAACGTTGTTTAGTAAATATGTACTAGTGTTTGTTTACGTGTTTTTGTAAACTAATTTGTCGGTATCTTTTACCGAGGTTAATACCAGATGTACTCGAGGTAGATTATTATCCAGGAGGAATAGTAATCCAGGGTAAACCAAGGAAGCCACTGTATCTGGCTTATTTTCACTGGGATCCTTTAAGCCACTTCCCCAAGATGCTACCCACAACAGTCAGCTAACAAAAAGGTACCTGCATACTGCTTAGTAAACAAAGGTAACAAGTGTAATTAAAACGATGCTCATCCTTTCCACTTGTGTTGGGATCTAACCCAGGTCCTTCAGCTGCGAGTCAAAGGTGCCACCACTGAAGCCGCAAACCCTTCATAACGACGAAATTAATGAGGGTAACAACGAAAACAAATTCTTGAGAACTTCCACTCAGACGGGATGAAAGAAGCAGTGATGGTAGGAAATCAGTGAAGATTCGACACAAGGAAGGACCTAAACGGCATTTATATCACATACTATATAGGAAGTCTGTAGTAACTTCTGACCCAAAGCTGTTTTTGTTACATCTTCAAAAACTTGAAATAAAATGAAACAATATTGTGTTTGCAACAAATTACGAGCAAAATCTCTGCTATACTAGCGATGGTGAGACATTCCTTGCACAAACTACATAAGAATCTTGCCGTACCAGTTCTTAGAACAAAAAAATTCCTACCAAGGTAGGATAATCCAAGACGAAAACCCACGTTGTTTTCCCCTTATCCAGAAGCTGCGTTGCTAGACGTGCAAGGACATCACATTTCAGATGACCCTCAGAGTTGCAATTCCATCTCTTCCTCACAATGAAGGCGCTGTACTCTCCCCTTTCATCTGCCCTGCAACCCTTCATAAGTATTACCTTGCTCATACTCCAACGTGTAAAGTTTTTGTTCACTCTAAAACGCTGCCGGATACTCAAGTAACACATCTGGAAGCATCCTTCACGTCTCCCAATTTTCCTGGTATCTCCTTCCTTCCTCCTCTCATCAGCATCGGATTTATATACCTTCTTGCTCAACCTATCTTGCTCCAATCTTTCTAAATGACGAAAAAAAAATCGACAATCATTCTTCTGTTCCATTAAAAAAGAAAAAAAACCCATACCACGGGCGGGGATGGAACCCGCGATCAGAGAGACATAAACTCCAGACCGACGCGCTAGCCACTGACACAAAGCATTATATTACTACCTCCCGCCTACTCACTGAAACCTTCATAGACCATACCCTCAAATCCTTGAAAAAGACAAACCCCAACCCCATAGACGATCCCAAATCTATACAAAAGTGTTTGCCCTACCTTAGGTGCATTCTCTTTCTTGCCTCTATTAATCAATTTTTATTCCACAGATTCCTAAACACACCTAGCATGTTCTTTTCCTCGTATATTCTGTGATTCACATAATAATCTTTCATAAACTATACTGGTGATATACAATTCACATCCCCTAATACGCCTTAATTTCAGTCTGCAACACAATCTTTCGCCACTTTCTTGCATACAGTTTATAGCTGTTAAATACTTACCACTAAATGCCAGTGTTATGGTGTCATGAGCAACTGGTACTAGGAGCGACTGGGCATGAATAGAAGGGTGCTAAGAGAAACTAAACGCCGGTAGTACTGCGTCATGAACTCGACAGGAATGGTTGATGCGTTGTTGTGAGGAACTATAGCCTTGTGAGTCAGTCATGTGAGACAGTGAACCAGTCATGCGAGACAATGAATCAGTCACGTGAGACGGTGAACCAGTAATGTGAGACAGTAAACCAGCAGCCAGACGTTTATAAGTCGCTACATAAGTTAAACAGAAATTGTTTACACTAGCTGGAGCAATAATTCTTTTTTTCATTTCCTGTGATTTATTTGGACAACGTGTGCACTCTAGGTTACTGATTGAAGCTGTCAGTGTATTGTGTGTTGCGAGGAACTTACTATCCCTCACACACACACACACACACACACACACACACACACACACACACACACACACACACACACACACACACACACACAGGATCCATACATAGCTTTAAGCAGAGGTATGATAAAGCTCACGGTTCAGGGAGAGTGATCTGGTAGCGACCAGTGAAGAGGCGGGGCCAGGAGCTCGGACTCGACCCCTGCAACCTCAACTAGGTGAGTCCAACTAGGTGAGTACACATTCACACACACGCACACACGCACACACACACACACACACACACACACACACACACACACACACACACACACACACACACACACACACACACCAAAACGCCTAAGTTTTAAAAAAATAGACATTAGATAAATATCCTTAATGAAGAGTTGAAATAAACTAGGTGAGACAAGTGAAGGCAGAGTTCACTTCAGCGTCGACGAGGAGACTAAACTGTATAAGTGACCAGTCAAATGGGAACCGACATCCACAGTCAGTCGAAGGTTGACGTCCTCGACCTAGAAACACACCCTTTATTTTTTTTTCACAGTGGTTTACAAGGTTAGGTTAAGGATTCCGTGCTTCATTTACAAGCTAAGAGCTGTTACCTATATCAGCTCATTTGAAAGCATTTTTATTATTATGAGACATACAGATAAGGAACAGGATGAAGGTGGTGCCATCTGTGGGCCAGTAATTTCATTTGATCAGCTGACTTTATTTCATTGATATTCTCTCTCTCTCTCTCTCTCTCTCTCTCTCTCTCTCTCTCTCTCTCTCTCTCTCTCTCTCTCCTCTCTCTCTCTCTCTCTCTCTCTCTCTCTCTCTCTCTCTCTCTCTCACACACACCAGATTAAATGTAAATATGACACAGATCATCAAACCAGTTAATTAATGGGTAATAGGTCGGACTCAAGAGCTGGAGCTCTATTACCTAAATTACAAACATTATTATTATTATTATTATTATTATTATTATTATTATTATTATTATTATCATTACATTTTAAGGGAAGACATGAAGCCAGGTTCGATACTAGAAGGTAGCTCCACTTCCTTGAGTCAAGAGCTCTTGACCTGTATGAAGGCACTTCTCCCTCTTCCTTGTTGGGAGTACCAATGTAAGCACACACAAAGGGGAAAACAAGTCTTGAAAAAAGAGGCAAGGCGTTAAGGACTATACATTAACTGAATGAGATACCATTCTCGCCCTAACGACTCTCACATTCCCCTAGATGATCCTTTGCTTCGACCCCTCTCCTCTCAGGACCCTCTCCTCTCAGGACCCTCTCCTCTCAGGACCCTCTCCTCTCAGGACCCTCTCCTCTCAGGACCCTCTCCTCTCAGGACCCTCTCCTCTCAGTATCCTCTCCTCTCAGGACCCTCTCCTCTCAGGACCCTCTCCTCTCAGTATCCTCTCCTCTCAGGACCCTCTCCTCTCAGGACCCTCTCCTTTCAGGACCCTCTCCTCTCAGGACCCTCTCCTCTCAGGACCCTCTCCTCTCAGTATCCTCTCCTCTCAGGACCCTCTCCTCTCAGTATCCTCTCCTCTCAGTATCCTCTCCTCTCAGGACCCTCTCCTCTCAGGACCCTCTCCTCTCAGGACCCTCTCCTCTCAGGACCCTCTCCTCTCAGTATCCTCTCCTCTCAGGACCCTCTCCTCTCAGGACCCTCTCCTCTCAGTATCCTCTCCTCTCAGGACCCTCTCCTCTCAGGACCCTCTCCTTTCAGGACCCTCTCCTCTCAGGACCCTCTCCTCTCAGGACCCTCTCCTCTCAGTATCCTCTTCTCTCAGGACCCTCTCCTCTCAGGACCCTCTCCTCTCAGGACCCTCTCCTCTCAGGACCCTCTCCTCTCAGGACCCTCTCCTCTCAGGACCCTCTCCTCTCAGTATCCTCTCCTCTCAGGACCCTCTCCTCTCAGGACCCTCTCCTCTCAGGACCCTCTCCTCTCAGGACCCTCTCCTCTCAGGACCCTCTCCTCTCAGGACCCTCTCCTCTCAGGACCCTCTCCTCTCAGTATCCTCTCCTCTCAGGACCCTCTCCTCTCAGGACCCTCTCCTCTCAGTATCCTCTCCTCTCAGGACCCTCTCCTCTCAGGACCCTCTCCTCTCAGGACCATCTCCTTTCAGGACCCTCTCCTTTCAGGACCCTCTCCTCTCAGGACCCTCTCCTTTCAGGACCCTCTCCCCTCAGTATCCTCTCCTCTCAGTATCCTCTCCTCTCAGGACCCTCTCTTCTCAGGACCCTCTCTTCTCAGGACCCTCTCCTCTCAGGACCCTCTCCTCTCAGTATCCTCTCCTCTCAGGACCCTCTCTTCTCAGGACCCTCTCTTCTCAGGACCCTCTCCTCTCAGGACCCTCTCCTCTCAGGACCCTCTCCTCTCAGGACCCTCTCTTCTCAGGACCCTCTCTTCTCAGGACCCTCTCCTCTCAGGACCCTCTCCTCTCAGGACCCTCTCCTCTCAGGACCCTCTCTTCTCAGGACCCTCTCTTCTCAGGACCCTCTCCTCTCAAGACCCTCTCCTCTCAGGACCCTCTCTTCTCAGGACCCTCTCTTCTCAGGACCCTCTCCTCTCAGGACCCTCTCCTCTCAGGACCCTCTCTTCTCAGGACCCTCTCTTCTCAGGACCCTCTCTTCTCAGGACCCTCTCCTCTCAAGACCCTCTCCTCTCAGGACCATCGAGGCCCCTGGTGCCGAGATGAAGGCAAATCATCACTGAAAGAATAAGACTTGAGCGCCCTCCAGCAGGGAGCTGCTACCAGTAGTTATCGTAACAACCAGTTATCTAGGTTTGATTGTCTCTTGATTACCAGTCATCTGAGTCTTCTCCTTGTGATGCTTCAGTAATTAAAGGATTAGTGCACACACACACACACACACACACACACACACACACACACACACACACACACACACACACTGCTCATGGAGCAAGGAGAGAATGGACCTTGTAACGACCGACTAAGAGGCGGGGCCAGGAGCTATGAATCGACCCGTTCAACCACAAATAGGTGAATAATATATATATATATATATATATATATATATATATATATATATATATATATATATATATATATATATATATATATATATATATAAACCTGGGGTAGAACACTGGCGTATATAAACAAAAGTAAAATGTAAAATAAATACTGTCAGATATTTACAAAGTGTGTGAACAGATATCTCCAACATTTTGTTTTTCTGTGTGCATTGTTTACCTCTTTGTTTGTAGCTCTTTCTTTATTATTCTCTTTGTCCTCGTCTTTGCATGCAGTTTCTTGATTATTCTTTTGTTTTTTTTTTTAGTTCCTTGCCTATCGTTCTGTTTGCTGAGTCACTTTTCTGTGAAAGAAAAATCTAGCTTCGTCTTTATCACCCTTAGATTTTTTTTGGGTGCGGGGGCAGTTTTCATTTCTCGGTTTGTGGGCGTTCATGGTCCTCTAATGAATACTCCCAGTGGTCCAGTGGTTCAGTGGTCCAGTGGTCCAGTGGTCCAGTGGTCCAATGGTCCAGTGGTCCAGTGGTCCAGTGGTTCAGTGGTCTAGTGGTCCAGTGGTCCAGCTGTGTACGTCCCAGACTTAGGTTCAGCGTCACTCCTGGCGGTGCTGGCGTCAAGAAGGCAGGTGACACCCAGCGATTTCATTATATCTGCGGAACTAGTCTGCATCTGGAGCGGTGTTTCGCTCTGTGTAGACCATCATCAAGTCTGGCAGCTCTGCAGAGGCACGTCGGGGAAGACACTGAGCGAAACGCTGCCACAAGAAAGGGCTCGTTCTGCAACTTTTAATAGTTGATAAAGAGCAGTAGACAGTGCTAAATCTTTATTAAAACGACATTTCGCCCAATGCAGCGCAGTGTCTACTGTTTTTTTTTTTGTCTTTATACTTGTCGGCAAATGTGCTGCTTCGTCTGAAATGAGAATTTTGGAAGTAGTTCATGAGCTGAACCTCGTGGAACTGGCACATGAATTGAACTTTATGGAACGTGAAATGAACCTTGTTCAACTACGTGAACTGCATAGTGTCTGTGTCTCTATTAGGAAGTCCCCGGCAAGAGAGAGAGAGAGAGAGAGAGAGAGTGAGAGAGAGACAGAGAGAGAGATCAACGAGATAAAGCCAGTTGATCAGATGAAAATGCTGGCCCACAGATGGCTCCAACTTCATCCTGTTCCCTACTTGTATGTCTCATAACAATAAAAATGCTTTCAAATGAGCTGATGTAGGTAACAGCTCTTAGCTTGTCAATAAAGCTAGGGATCCTTAACCTGTAAATAGCTTGTCAATAAAGCTAGGGATCCTTAACCTGTAAATAGCTTGTCAATAAAGCTAGGGATCCTTAACCTAACCTTGTCAAACCCTGTGTAAAAAAAAAGAAAAAAAAAGAGAGTGAGAAAGAGAGAGAGAGAGAGAGTGAGTTTTCCTGGGATAGATTCTTCAAGTTCTCCATTTACACCAATTCTCCTTCCCTAGAATTTCAGATCTCCTTCTGGGAAGTAAATACCAATAGTATTTCTAACTCAGGGTTCTCCCGATAAGAAATATTTGCGACCACAGGATGGTCCCTACAAGCCCAAGCCTCGAAGATCAGTTCTACATGTCCAGGCCTACAATACCAGGCCTACATGTCCAGGCCTACAATATCAGGCCTACATGTCTTAGGCGAGTTGCTAAACTCGTATGGGCAACTCAGTGCAAAGGAGGCTCGATTCTCTGTCCTCAAAGTGACAG